CCTCCCGCCCGCCCTCCACCAATGCCACCTGCTGCCGTTTGGTCTGATACCTCACATCTAAGGACAGTTCGACCGAGCACCGCGAGCAATGGGAGTCGCAGTCGCAGTCGCGGAAATCTTTCAAGTCGGCCACTTTTTTGTACCGGGGGTTGACGGAGCGGAGGGGAATCAAACCTACGTCGCGCGCGTGAACAATGATAATAAAGCATGAGAGCATGATCGAGTGCAGAGGATTCTGAATGGACGTGAGACATCGTAGGCCGAGCGTGGCATGATTTTTTTTGCCTATGCGTGCCGACAAAGACCTCGAACATGTATGGATATAATTCGTGTGTGTGCTTACCGAGGCGATGGGCTAAATATTCATCGTTCAGCACGGAGGAGTTCACCTCAAAAGAAACCAGGTCAATAGCCAAAGTGGGCACTTCCGCGATCATCACGCGACGCAGAGCATTGGCCACGGAGGCGTCCGTATCGGACAGAATGAACTTAATAAAATCGTCCTAAATACATGAAGATGGAATGAGATTTTATGACCAGAAGTTGTGATAGCCCCCGTGTTATAGAAGAAAGTCAAGCAGCTGGGAAGACACCCCCTGTACCTTGAGCTCTAGTATTTCAAGCTTCGGCGCCCGGACGTTGGGCATAGTGGCTGCCTTACAATACCAAATCCAATTGAAAAGCCTCTGGTTTTGGTATAGGTCAGGTACGGGGGCGCGATGGTAAGAGCTTGGAGCAGACCGCTACGGTGATGGTGGGATGATACTTCGCGGATGAAGAAAACCGGCTTTCCGATGCAGACAACCAGGTTTCCCGCAGCTACGATGTAATGAGGAATAGAGGACAATAATTTTTAGCATGTCCGTCACTGTATGGTCGCCCCTGATGAAAAGAAAACATGCGTGGAGGCCTGTTCGGCAAGACCAGGTGCATGATATCAGGGGCCAAGGCGGGTGTGGTCGGCGATGTTACTTATCCAGACCGATCCAACGCCAAATATGAATGTTCATCTCCTGAGACTCATGCCAAACTAATACAACGGCGTGCGAAAACTTGCACAGGTTTTTGTCTTCATCCTTGTTTTCTTATTCGTCCTTGACCGCTGGTCATGGAGGCCACATTTTTGGCGCGAACGGCCCATACCACGGGCTGAATAGACACATAAGAAAGTGACCCTCCATCCTTTTCCTTGGCAGCACCTCGCTTTTTCTCTCCGTAAGAGAATTCTTGAGCCACCTAGCAAAATTCTCGCTTGAAATATACACATGTGCGTTTCCCACTTTCGACACCGAACGGCCAATAGGATAGTGAGACACGCAAGGTAGCGGAAGGCAACCTGTCAGTATCTCTTACACCAAGTCTTGGCACGTAATCCACCTCAAAGCTCAAAGCAGGGCTCTCTCAGTCTTGCCAACGCTTACACATGACGATTAGAACTTTATCGCGGGGTATTTGCGCTATCCGTTGACGTACTATGGCAGGACACCGCTGGTGTTGGCTGCTGAGAGTGTGAAAGTGGTCCTCCGAGGGACCGCAGGAATAATTGTTGCCAGTCGCTAGGTCCGAATGTGCCTCAGAATTATCTTCTTTTTGCCTCCTTACTCTCCCTCCCTCTTTTCCGTCGAGGACGCTCCCCGCTCCGTCCTCCCTCCGGCCCACCCCTCCACTTTCCTCCCTCCCGCCTCATCGTCTCTCCCCTCGCCGTCTCG